TAGGCACACAGATTAAACCCGTGTTGTTGATTTTGGAAAACACTACTGAGGCTGCCTTGCTTCCCTTCAGAAAATCTACATTTTAACCAACTTACATGACATTCTATGTTATGTTGACTTTATCACATGAAAGTTTATAGTGCATTTCATCAATTAATAAATAAATGTGAAAATCGTAATTTTCAACACAAATAATAGTCTCGCTACCTTAAAAGGGTGGGGGATAAGAGGGATTTTCTTGTTCATAAGTCGTTGCTTTAATTTGAATACATTTCTTTGTTGGGCTTTCTAATCAATAAATAACCAAACCTTGCTTGGAAGAGTGTTTGGTATCGCACGAAAATGGTACAGAAAAAAATCAATTTTTTTTATTTACACATAAATTACAACTGGTTTTTATCAACATTTTCTGACTTTCCTCAAATTTGACCATATCGAGCTGTTCAGAGTTTGTGAGGTCAAAAACCAATATGTATGTGAATTAACTGAATCACAACTTTATATCCCTTAAAAACTTGTTTACTTACATGTACTATCACATTGTATCAAAAAGGGAGCAACTATGACATGACTTGCCTTGATTTCACATTCCGAAAAGTCCTCATTCTGTGTTTAATGCCAAATTCCATCACCAGAAGTGCAAGACATGCACTCGGCTAAATAGATGCAGTTAATCGTTGCAGGCAAATATGTACTGTAATTGGCTGTGCATATTTGATTGAATCACTAAAAAATGTAATGTGCAACTAAAATCCAGTGTGTAGAATCATGAGTTTGAACAAAATCATGCGTCGAGTCATCTCAGAAAAAAAAAAATGACATGCATCTGTAACTCAGTACGTATGATCTTGATACAGAGCTCTGTTCATCTGAGAGAAATTATTCTAGGATTTTAGAAAATGACAGTTAATGTGACAAATAAGATTTAAGATACAAAACCTATGCTATTAGTATATTGCAAACTTTCACCTGAATCAGGTGATATATAAGTGAAGAATATTCATTAAAATTAGAGAAATGAAGATATCATCACGAAATGAACAAATCTGAGAGAGGTCCACCCAGGGTACCTACATACCAAGTATCAAAGCATTTGGGCTAGCGGTTTTCAAGAAGAAGTCGAAAATAGCATTTTTGACCACAAATATTCGCTCTAAATAAGACAATTGAACATATCCACATGAAATGAACAAATCTGAGAGAGAACCACCCAAGGTACCTTCCTAGAAAGTTTCACAGCTATACAATTTGTGGTTTTTAAGAAGAAGTTGAAAATGTAAAGTTGGCGACGGCTCGACTTCGTTGACAGCGGAGCTAAAAAATGATATTGTCTCAAAGGAATAGCCCCAGACAAGTATCAGAATTTAGCCAGTCTTGATAAAGTGGTAACGAAAACTGATATGCGTAAGTAAGTCATAATACATGGTTTGTGTGTTAAATTTTAATGTGATCGGTCGAAGCATGTCTGAATGGACAGACAGAAACCAAAGTAATAGTCCCTGATTTCTGACTGTCTGAAACAGAGACTACTATAAAAAGCAGTTATATTGTGAAGATGGCCATAAAGTATGGGTGTTATTAAACTTTAAAAGTGTATGGTTCATTAAATAACTTGACTTTCACACACTTAAACTTAAGTTTTTCCAAATACTTTGTCACAAACTAGAAAATCCCTAGGAGTAGGCAGACACCTTACTTGTGGAACAATGGAGCACTTATTCAAGGTCTTTTTGTTAGTGCATGATAATAGTTATTGAATATAAAGATGATCCACCAGGATGGTGAGTTTAGATGTTACAGTTAATTGCACACGGAAGTTTAAAGAAGCTATTGAAAGCATGGTGCTAGAAGAAAGATTTGCACATGCAGCAGATGTTTTAGTAGTGCTTTCAAAAGCAAGACCATGTACTTCATTGTTCCACAACTATATCTATGTTTTTGGTGTCTTTCCACGCAGTGATGATTTAGATTGAGCCCGGGACTTGACACTATCGGACAGGGCTGTCTTATTACCACCACGAGTACTCTGCCTACTCTTGGCAGAACTCCTAGTTGGTGACTTGATTCTTGGAGGAGGACCCATCGCTGCTGGTCGTGGCAATGCCATCTTTTCAAACATGTAATCTAAGGTTTCATGCTTCTCTTCTATCCTGGTTTCTATGTTCTTCTGCGTTATCATTGAGTGTGCAAGTGTTGCTTCATCAATAAGCTTCTCAATCTCCTACGTACATGTACAAACAAGAAATAATGTATTTTACAATTTGATGTAATATATAACATAGATAATCACAAAATAGCATCAATGAATGCATCACTGATTATAATTGCCACCTTTGCAGCCAGTAGACCATTTTCAGTTCACTGCAAAATCTTGTGTTATGCATGAAATCAAACAATGGACAAACAAAGGTCATAGTGGCATTGTGATGTCAAAACATAGTGTTGGATTTGGCAAGCAAACATATTTTTGGGGTATTTTCACACCCAATATGCATGTGCAATATTTGTAGTGCAGTATTATTTTGCTAGGAAAAAAAGTTCAGTTTTAAACACTGCTACTTAATCCCTGATGTACATGTAGATATAGAATGGCAAAGTCAGGACTTCTTTTTTGTTTTACAAAAAGAAATAATTAATTGTTCTTTTAGTCCTTTCAGCGTGATCGCAAAAACTAACCTGACCGCTAAAGAAATCCCGACAGGACGCATCTGCAGGCATTTGACTGCTATTAATTATTCATGTGGGTGGGTGAAAGCATTACCTCCATGGTAAAGATTGGTTCGATTTGATCGCAGATAGATAATTTAAACTTTCTCAGTGCAAAGGCGATACTTTCATCCATGTTTACTGAAAACAAGTGGATTTAGATGTCCAATGTATACAACAAATGTATAAGTAGTCTTTCAAAATCGCTGAGACCTCTGCATTAACATAGATAAGATATGACGTATACAGCTGCACTACTTTTAATTAGCATAATCACCGGAGTGATTCCACTCCAGTTTTCACTCCAACGCAGGGAATCGCCTGCAGATGCGTCCAGTCGGGATTTGATTTGCAGTCACGCTTGTTTTCGCGAACACATTAAAAAGGCTAAATTGACAATTAATTATATTTTTTTTTTGTAAAACAAAAAAGAATTCCTGACTTTGTCAGTCTAATGTAGATACAACAGTACTGGTAATTTGTAATATTGGCTCAGATTAAAATTTATTGGACAATTACATTTTCATGTGACAACCGTCATAAAGCTTGTCCGGTGGAAAAAGGATGTTTTTAAATTGTTGAATCTTGTGTACCGGTATTTAGTGTATTTACCGGTATTATCCAAGATTTAATACTGCATGTACAATGCGAATGCTTATTCTGATAATCTCTAATCTGATACAGCTGTCTCATTATCATTATTTCCTGAGATAGAATCCAAGGTTCTGAGAGAATTTGCTCTATTAAAAGTGCACTTTTGCTGAAAATTGCATACATTGTATGCTGGAACATAACATCATTCATGCATGTGTTGATGAAAGGTTATACAAAATTAGTTGCATATGAATGGTCCAGTACAAAATGCAGTTATTGTTTTTGGAGATTCGCTTGTATTAGAGCAATTGTGGTATGATCTCTAATAATCAATGTAACAGAAGGTAGTTTATACAAGCAGCCAGTCGTCTGAGATAGCTCCACTGTTAGCAATGCACATTTCAATTAAATAACAAAAGATATCATTAGAAAATGAACAATATGTAGATTTGCTGTTTTTGAACAAGAATTCAAAAATATCACTTTTCACCAAAAATGACAAAAATTATCATCAAAATTAGATATTTGAAGATATCACCACAAAATTAAATAATCTAAAAGAGGACCACATGTAGTACCTATATATGTAATATATAAAATCAATCAGACTTGTGCTTTTTTACAAGAAGTCGAAAATATCACATTTTACCAAAAATATTCATCAAAATTAGAGGATTGAAGATATCATCATGAATTGAACAAATCTGAGAGAGGACCACATGTAGTACCTATATATATAATATCAAAGCAATTGGACTTGCGGTTTTCAACAAGAAGTCGAAAATATCACTTTTTACCAAAAATGACAAAAATATTCACCAAAATTAGAGAATTAAAGATATCATTACAAAATGAACACATCTGAGAGAGGTCCACATGTAGTACCTATATATGTAATATCAAAGCAATTGGATTACGGTTTTTAACAAGAAGTCGAAAATATCACTTTATACCAAAAATTACAAAAATATTCATCAAAATTAGAGAATTAAAGATATTATCATGAATTGAACAAATCTAAGAGAGGACCACATGTAGTACCTATATATGTAATATCAAAGCCATTGCACTTGCGGTTTTCAACAAGAAGTCGAAAATATCACTTTTTACCAAAAATGACAAAAATATTCACCAAAATTAGAGAATTACAGATATCATTACAAAATGAACAAATCTGAGAGAGGACCACATGTAGTACCTATATATGTAATATCAAAGCCATTGCACCTGCGGTTTTCAACAAGAAGTCGAAAATATCACTTTTTACTAAAAATTACAAAAATATTCACCAAAATTAGAGAATTGAAGATATCATCATGAAATGAACAAATCTAAAAGGGGTCTACCCTAGGTACATATACACCAAGTATCAAAGCATTCAGGCTTATAGTTTTCAAGAAGAAGTCAAAAAAGTAAAACATTGAGACGGACGACAGACGACGATGGACAATCACTCATATGATAAGCTCCTCGACAAAGTCAACAGCGGAGCTAATAAAACAATAGATTCAAGTGGGGGTCTGATTTTACCTCTCTTGCCAGTGTAGTATCAGCATCCACCTCTTGAAATGGACCCTGCAGAACTTGATCCTGAGAGAAAACAAATCTGCACGTTTCTTGAGTATTTCCTCTTTTTTCTCCCTGTCCTTCACCTCCATATCATGTATTTTTTTTTCATAGTCCCATACAAGGAATTCTTTTCCTTGCTTGAATGGTAGACACTCTGAGGGAGTGTTAACATGTAACTTGTACTGGGTGATCATGGGCTCACGTTCATTGGTGAAGACGAACTGATACAATTTGTAATGTTGCATGAATGTTTGGAAGAAATATGTGGTGAATATTTTCAAGTTGTTCTCACCAACTGTAGAACTGTATTTCTGAGAAATGATGGTGTATAACTTGATCGCATCTAGTAATGCAAGTCCTATAAAAGAGATTAAAAACAAAT